ACCCCAGCGACCCCCTGTCCCTCTGCCCCCAGCCCGCTGAAGCCCTACGGCTGCGAGGAGTGCGGCAAGAGCTACCGGCTCATCAGCCTGCTGAACCTGCACAAGAAGCGGCACTCGGGCGAGGCGCGCTACCGCTGCGAGGACTGCGGCAAGCTCTTCACCACGTCGGGCAACCTCAAGCGGCACCAGCTGGTGCACAGCGGCGAGAAGCCCTACCAGTGCGACTACTGCGGCCGCTCCTTCTCCGACCCCACCTCCAAGATGCGCCACCTGGAGACTCACGACACGGACAAGGAGCACAAGTGTCCCCACTGCGACAAGAAGTTCAACCAGGTGCGGGGCCGCTCCCTGGCCGCGGCCGGCGGGGACCCTGGGCCGAGGGGCCCTGCCCCGGCTCTGAGCACACGGGGGGCAGCGGGCGGCCCAGTGGAACAGGACCCTCCCCCGGGACAGCTCTGCCGGGGAAGGTGGGAAGGCAGGTGAAGTCGGGGTGGGGCTGGGACCAGAAAGAAGTGGGGTGGCTTCCCTCTCACTGCTGGGACCCGGAACATCCCACCGGCCTTGAGCAAAGATGGAGCCACCCACAGCCCCTGGGGGGACCCAGAATCAGCTGTTCCCTGGCGGAGGGGCTGCAGAGGGGCCCAGGCCACGTGGTGCGGGGTGGCCCTCTGACCCCTGCCCGGCACAGGTGGGGAACCTGAAGGCCCACCTGAAGATCCACATCGCAGACGGGCCCCTCAAGTGCCGCGAGTGTGGGAAGCAGTTCACCACCTCAGGTAGGCCCGCTGCCCGGCTGCCCACGCCCTCCACCCTCGGCCCCCTCCTGGCGCCCACCCAGGCCCTCGGTCCGTCTCCACAGGGAACCTGAAGCGGCACCTGCGGATCCACAGCGGGGAGAAGCCCTACGTGTGCGTCCACTGCCAGCGGCAGTTCGCGGACCCCGGGGCTCTGCAGCGGCACGTCCGCATCCACACGGGTGGGTGAGAGCCCAGCGGGGGCGGG